GGGGGAGGCAAGCAGAGCATGCGATCGGTGGCTCCGGACTCGGACCTGTGCTATTAATTAAGACGCGTGATCACGGTGCTCTGGGAAGCTCGATCGTTTTTAGTGCCGCTTCCGGGGGGCGGTGCTGTACATAGGGGTGGCTCCGGGTGTCCCGTACTGTCACGTCAACGCCACGGAGCTCGTTATGGAGCTTGAAACACAAGGAATCTAAATCCCTCCTGTATTACAAACGGATTTTCTTCGTTTTACAAACCAAATTGTGAACAGACACGAGTGCTTTTCGTACTATGGAGCCGCTGGGTGTTGGGGTGGGCGCCAATCAACTCTTTTCACGAAATAACAAAAAAAAATAAGCTTAATTAATCCACCGAACGTTCGTTAGAGATGCAGAATGACGTGTTGGGCCGAGGAAGGCCTTTTCTAGTCTAGTCAAACCGAAACTGAAAGTGCGATGCCCCTAAAAACAAGAAGCCCCCCACCCCCTTTCCCTGCTCGCTGGCGGGCAGACGCGGCGGGTATCTCTGGATCATGCACGCCCGAGCCCGGCGCTCGATTTCCACGCCATGGTGGCGAGCATGCGCGTTTAACGCCGTTCTCGCTTTCCGCGGGCAACGGGCGTGCCGAGGCCGCTGCCGCCGCCCATAGCCCAGCCCTCTTGCCCGCATATCGCACTTTCGACGTCGCTGGACCCCGCCCCGCCCCTCCTCTCTTTATCTTTATCACGTTTTAAATGGAAACATATTGGCAGGTGACTAAAGGATCGTCGGCCGTTACGACACTGGCCGGCGGCCACGGGACCGGCAGGGCGCAGCGTGTCGTGAGGGGAGGGCACCTTCATGTGGGCGGCGGGCCGCACAGTCAGCGCTCTGCCGCAGGGCGAGCCAAAGGTCGCGAGGCACCCCCGCCCCGCTCCGCCTCACCCCTCCCCTCCCCTCCCCGCCAGCCCCCGCACCCAATCCCCTGCGCCACCACTCGAGCACAGCCCTAGTTGCCGCTCCCGACGCTTGCGACACGACGGCGCGCTTGCTTGTCCCGGAGGACGTCGCCGCCAAGGACCGGCACGGCGCCGAGCACAGGCCCGACACAGGCCCCACACCCACCTCCTCTCTGGAGCAGTAATTGTGGTCCGCGACTCGGTTCATTTGCAGCTCGCGCACCGCCTCGAAAAGGTCTCTGGTCTGGTCATCTGCGTTTCGTAAGGGGGACGCGGGGGACAGGTATGCCGTGTGCTATTCTTGTTGTTGAGTATAGACTTTTTGTTTTCCCCTAGAATTATGTTATCAAGACAGCAGGTCTTTTAGACGATAATTTAAGTATGAATTGCCTTTATCGCAGTTTACGCACGATGCCTCGATAATGCATCAAAGTGGCAGGGAACTGCTGTCACGCAAGTTCACGTCTTTCAGTGTTTTGTGTGTGTATTTGTAGGTGAATCTGTTTGTCTGTCAGTCTTTCTGTATCTGTATGTATGAATGTGCGACTGCGCCTTAGTGGCTGGCTTTCGGTCGGTGGGCATCGCACCGGAGCGCCTTGCGTCCCCTCCCCCTTCCCCTCC